ATTAAAACCAACAATAAATGTCTATCATCTCACACGGTTTCTGAAGGTCAGGAGTACAGGAGTGGCTTAGTAGGATGGCTGTGGCCCAGTGTCACTTACGGAGTTACATCAAGATGTCAGTCAAGACTGCAGGCCCCAGAGGGTTTGGTCAGGGCTGAAGGATTTGCTTCTAAGGTGGTTCATTTGTGGCTTAGCAAGGAGGTGCTGGCTACTGGCAGGATACCTCAGTTCTGCACACTGTGGGCCTCTCCACAGGGCTGCTTGGGCATCCTCATCCTCACGTCTTTCTTTTTCTGATTGAATTCACTGAGTGTGATAATCTCTAGCTGCATCCATGTTGCTGCAAATGGCACTATTTTATTCTGTTTTATGGCTGAGTAATATTCCATTTTATATATATATACCATATCTTCTTTATCCATTTCTCTGGTGATGGACAGTTAGGTTGTTTCCATGTCTTGGCTATTGTGAATAGTGCTGCTATGAACATTGGGGTGCATGTATCCTTTCCAATTACAGTTTTTTCCAGATACACGGCCAGGAGTAGGATTGCTGGGTCATATGGTATATCTATTTTTAGTTTTTCAAGGAACCTCTGTACTGTTCTCCATAGTGGCTGCACCAATTTACATTCTCACCAACAGTGTAGGAGGGTTCCCTTTTCTCCACACCCTCTCCAGCATTTGTTCTTTGTAGACATTTTTTTTTTTTTGCCACACCCCACGGCAATGTGGAATCTTAGCTCCCAGACCAAGGATCAAACCCATGCCCCCTACAGTGGAAGCTTGGTGTGTTGATCACTGGAGCGCCAGAGAAGCCCCTAGACGTTTTAATGATGGCCATTCCGACCAGTGTGAGGTAGGACCTCACTGCAGTTTTGATTAGCATTTCTCTCTCTCTTTTCTTTTTCTTTTTCTTTATGCTGCTCCCCCAAGCCCCGGTATATTTATACGTGCATGTCTGGCAGGATCTGGGGTGAATCTTGGGCTCCAGGACCTGGAGTCTTTGGAAGAATTCATTTGTAAGATCGTGACAGGTGTGGCTCAGAGCTACGTCTTGGAAGCTTTGGCTGCTAAAATAAGACACTCTAAACAGGAGGTGGAAGATTTTAAATAGAATGGACTCCTCATGGCAACGTGACTGCCCCCTGGAGGGGGATTCTTTCCCTGAAGGACAGAAAGGAGACAGTAATGAAGTCAGGCTGAAAGAGAATTTTGTGAATGTCGGCAAGTTAGCAAGTATACCAGAAAGCTACATTGAAGTGTAGGGCCTTTACACATAAATTAAACGAATGAAGTCTCCAAATGGAAGGGTCTAATTCCCGGAAGTTGCTGCAATGGATGTAATGAGCTCACCAGGGAAGAGTGCCTACCGGTGGCCCAGGAGAAAAATGAGCATTCGTACTCAGTCTCAAGGACTTTCAAAATGAAACAAAATCACTCTCTCCTAATGTTTCAGGCAATCAAGCTCCGTGTCTTTAAAGCCCATTTGGCAGAAGGTGAAGCATGACCACATCTAGGTGTGTGTGCTGGAGGTGGGATACTATGGATGTCCATTATACTCATCTCTCAACTTTTCTGGTTGTTTGAAAAATGTCATAATAAAACATGTTGGGAAAAGGAAAAGAATAGAATACCAGAAAGTAAAAGAACAGATGTCATCTCATAGGACCCCCCCACCCCCGCAGTATTTTAAGTGGAATATATTTAGCTTTATGAAAAATTCACTTCCTTTACTTATTTTTCTCACTTGCTCATGGAGGACTGAAAACCCCTGGGCATCTACCCAAGGACCAGCAGCGGGGAGCTCTGTTCTGGAAAGGCAGCATGTGGGGCAGTGGGTTGAGAGGATGAGTTTGGGGCAAGTGTCCTTGTTTGGGTTCTATCCCAGATCCTGCTGGCTTTTGCTCACTGAGTGACCTTGGGCAAGCTACTTCAATTCCTTGTGCCCCCCTTTCCTCATCTGTAAAAACTGGGCCGATAATAATGGAATAAGGTAAGTGACTTGGCCACTGTCACACACAGCTTGTAAGTGACAGTAGCTGAGTTTGGTTCCCAAGATAAATGATAGGAAACCTTATCTCGAAAACTCTCCCCATCTCTGCATACCTATAGGTCTTGGTTGGAACTGCTTTCAGAACCCTCAAGCCATGGTCCTTTGCCTGCCTGTTGGTTTTATTCTAACTGACTGATTTCTGGATGCAGGAGGTGTTTCATTTTCCTTGGCTTTTCTTAGAAACATAGCATAGTTTTATTTTTCACTCATTGTGTGTTTGACTGAATAAGTGAAATACAAAAACACCTTCCTCCTAAGTCCACATTAACCAGGAGAGTTTTCCCTAAGAACACTGTTCAATCATTTTGCTTATTGATTATCTTCCATGAGAAGTTTATCAGAAGAGCCAGGATGCTTCCAAGGTTTCGTTAACATGTTGAGTCTGGCAACAAAACTTAATTTCCTAAGGAATGGTGGCTTAAGTTAAAGCAGGTTTGCAGAACTGTTGGGGCGTTTGTGTGTCTGAAGGGGGAGGAAATGACTACCATCCCAGTCATGATGATGAACTAAAGAAACGTGGTCTCAGGAGTGTTACATTAAAACTTGTGCCCACTGCATGAGTGATGCCAAACTGCTTTCAGAAGAAAAGTGATCAGTCTTTTGTTCATAAATTATCAGTTATTTCAGAAGTGATCAAAAAGAAACGTTCAAATGTAGAAATCCCTGTCGGGAATTGGGCTTTAGCCTTAAAATTGTGGGTACACAGCACCATCTGGTGTGTAGTTTTATAACCACATGTTGACTTTTTTTTTTTATTAACCTCCTATCTAATAATCAATGTGATTCAGTTGGCTTTACAATAAGAAACCATTCTTTAGGCTTTCGTAAGCACATGTCGAGGACCTTGCCTCATTCCCATACTTAAGACTCCTCAAACCCATAATAATCTTACAAGCTAAACGGGGTTCACCCTCTGATAGATCCAAAGTCAAAATTGCATCCAAGCTGAAGTCCAAGTGAAGCAGAAACTATGAATAGAGGAAGCCAGCAAGGAAAGAGTTAAAAAAAAAGAAAAACAAGTTAGCCCATGAACACAGAACAGGAACAAAAGACCAAAACCCACGACAGAAAAAAAACAGGCCTGTCCTTGGGCTCCCACAGGTTGTGACAACAATCTAATTTAGCTCATTTGCATCCTGATCATAAACTTTTGAGTGAGTCTCTGTTGCTTGCAGTCGAATAAGTGTAACTAAAACAATATTAGTTTCAGTGAAGCCAAGACTATAAATCCTAGAATCTGGCATGCTTACTCACACAGGTCCCCAAATGCCTGAATGTCCTTCTTCTTTGACCTTCTGATAGAGGCCACAGGTAAGACGTAGGAAGAGAGGAATAAAATGAGGTCATCATAACCACTTGGGACCATGATTGGTGTCCAGGCCACCCAGCCAGACTTGTAAGCACATGTCTCTCACCTGCGGATGGACTAGGAATTAGAGAGGCAGATGCCCTCAGTTAATGCTAGAGAACTCAGCGACCAGCAGGATCTGAGTACCATCTTGTGAATCTCTGGCCAGAAATGCGGTCTTCAATAAATCTCAGCATTTGATTCACATGCTAGTAATTTCCTGATTTACCTTCAGTGTAGATCAGGGGTTCTTAACTGGGGGCACAATTGGCAACGCCTGGAGACATTTTTGGTTGTTGCAGCTGCGGGAAGGGGGACGCTACCGATCTAGCGTGTAGAGGACGGAGATGCTGCTAAACATCCTACAGAGCACAGGACAGTCCCCCACAACAAAGAATTATGTGGCCCCAAATGTCAGTAGTGTTGAAGTTGAGGAGCCCTGTGTCCGTGGCAGGAGAAGCCTAGAGGAACTTTTAAAGTGGTAGGAAGAGCAGAGGGTTGAACAAGAAGTTGAGAATCCTGCCAAGCGGAGCACTACCCAGCTTGAGGAAGACACCATACTGTATCACCACCTGTGGAATGATGCCAAGTCATAGGCAACAGGTGCCAGCTGAGGCTCTGGCGATAAATCTAAGCAGTAGGTCCTTGAGAAGCAGAGCACAGGCTGAAGATAATCATTGGAGAAACCGAGTCTAAGCAGTTTGACTCTATGCATCCCCCTCTCCACCATTAGGGGATTTTGTGACCTAATTTCCTGTTCATATCAAAGGAATAATTTGGCTTGGCTGACAGGGGCAAGGGGTTAAATTGGGATAAGCAGAAAGGCAGCAGATTAATAGTAGCTCACTTAAATGTACATGAATTTGGAAAGAGTGATGTGATAGATCTGAGTTGGGATAGTGGGTCTGTTAAAACTGAAATATGGTTTCGTTAAGTTAGCTTTTGGTTGGGCAACTTCAAAGGAAAGCAAGTGTCTCCCCTAAAGAGCATGCAGAGCAGGAATCCCAAAGCAATATCAGTCTCAAGACTTGAAGAAAATAAAAAGCTAATCCCTTCTCCCCATTTTCATCCCTTTGAAACACATAATTCCTCTACGGAGGCTTGCATTCTTCTGAAACCTAGGCCAGAGAGATCACGGTCAGTAGATTTCCCTGTAACGATGAGCTAGGCAGCAAGTTCCAAGCAGGGAATGTTCTGGAAAATTCCATAAACGTTGGCCATTTATTATCAACAGAACCACGCTGTGGCTAGAAGAAACTTCTCCAGGACTGGGCATCAGAACGTGCAGGAATTTGTGTTTTTAATGTTTCCCACTGTTTACAGCGTTGAGTTTACATGCACAACAAAGTTTGTGAATCAGCCTGGGTCATGGAACGCTCTGGAAGGCGTCTAAGCAGGAACATTCATTCTTCCGAATGCCCTAAAAAAAGGAGAGGCTATAGCGCAGAAAGCCAGCAGCTGCCTCCTTCCTTTCCGCGCCACGCTCTATTCCTGCAGGGTCTGGACTACATTTCCCAGGATGCCCAATTGCTGTAGCTCCTGCGGGATTGGCTAGAACAACGCGGAAGTGATTACGGGTCGCCCAGCAACGGGCGGAGTCCTGGACCGTGACTGGATGCCCACGCCCCCTTGCCTGCGGCTGGGAGGTGTCGAAGCTCGACTCCATCTCCAGAGACACAGAGCTCTCAACCGGCTTTTACTTCCAGCCGAGCGGCCGTGCGAGCTCGTGGGTTCTTTCCCCGTAGGTCTTCTCAGGCCCCGCTTCCTTTGACTCCGGCAGCTGCGCAATTGCGGAGACTGGATTCACCTGCCGAGTCGGAGGAGGGGCTCCGGGTGGCACAGTGCGCAGGCGCGGGCGTTCGGGGCTCGCGGCGCGCGGCGCTCGGTTGAAGCGGGAGTGAGTTCTGGTCGCGGAGACCCGGCAGCGGGCGAGCGAGCGGGTGACCGGGCGCCTTCTCTGCAGCCATGGCAGCCCTGCGCTACGCAGGCCTGGACGACACGGACAGCGAGGACGAGCTGCCCCCGGGCTGGGAGCAGAGAACCACCAAGGACGGCTGGGTTTACTATGCCAAGTAAGGGGGCCGCCGGGGGGCCGCCGGGTTTGGGACGCAGCTGGAACCCTGCCGCTCACCTGCTCGGGACTCCGCGCTGCCTTCGAATGCCACCTGCGCGGGGAGGGCCGCGGGCTCGCGCTCAGGCTTGGCCTGGGAGGGCGAAGTGGAAGTCATGGTTGAAGAGCTTCAGAGGGAAGGCTGCCGGGGTCCTGAGGACGGGCCATCCCCCTCTCTGGCCCTGGGTCCAGCGGGGGTCACCTGGCGGCGCTCATACGCGCCCTCTGCTGCCCAGTAGGCAGCGCTGCACGGTGCAAGGATGGCAGACCGGCCTCATTCCCTTTGCCCCCCCAAAATCAGAAAAAAATGCCGATGCCCCGCTCCTTTCTGGGGGGTCTGGGTTGACGACCTAGGAGTGTGTGTTTTTAGCAAGTGTCCTAGTGTAACTATGTGTGTATATATATATATGTATACATATAAAATGGCTAATATAGCTTTACTATAGTTCTCAGGAAAGTTTTGGAAACACCAGGAGACCCTTTCTCCCACCACTTACTGTGTGACCTTGGGCCATTGGAATAACTCTCAGTCACGGGTTTCTTATCTGCTAAATACGTTGGTTGGAGTTTTAGTTGAGGACCTGTACGTAAAGGCTTAGCACAGGCCTAAACATACTCAATGCTGGATAACTCTTAGTCTTTGCTGATTTCTGCAGCTGTGACAGCACCTTCCAGGCCTGATATTAGAATCACCTGGGGACCATCATAACTATAGATTTGGGGTCTCCACAGAGACGCTCATGCAGCAGGCAGCCAACATAGGGATTCTTTATTTTTTAAGCTTTCCAGCTGAGGCAGTTACGGCTTTGAGAAACATGGATGTAAATCGGTGATTTTCAACACCTGGGAAACAAACTATCTTTTCCTGGCTTCCACCTCCAGGGATTCTCATTTAATTTTCTTGCCCCGCCTCCCGCCCCTAGTGGTAGGTTGTGAAACCTTCCCACGTGATTCTAATCTGCCCAAGGTTGTGAGCCTCTGCTGCCTTCGGTGGCTTGCTAGAAAGAAAAACAGGAGGAAACGACCTTGGTGAGTTCATTCAAGACACATTGGGAATGTATCCTGTGCCAGGCTCTTTGCTGGGCATTGGTTTTACTGAGATAAATAAGACCGCTCGTTGGGATTTCCCTGGCTGTCCAGTGGTTAAGACTCCGCATCCTCAGTGCAGGGGGCCCAGGATCGATCCCTCGTCAAGGAACTAAGATCCCACATGCCACACGTCGCGGCAAAAAAAAAAAAAAAGTACAAAACATAAGACCGCTTGTCACTTTCATGAGTGCCCAGTCTTATAGGACAGAGCGACGTGCAGTGACGTGGTCCCCACGCAGTGTGTGTAGTGAGCGGCAGCCTGTTCAGCATGAGCTGTGTGGGTAGGTGGTGAGGTGCCTGGTGCAGTGGGCACCTGAGCTGTGCCTTAGAGCACAGGTAGAAGTGGGCAGGTCCAGGGGCAGGAGGGCAGCACAGGTAGAAGAAACAGAGGCCCGGCCTGTGCGGTGGTGCAGGAACATGAAGATTGAGGTGGGAAGGAAGGGCACAGTTGGTTTATGCCTTTCTGTGCCTCGGAGGATCTGGGCTCTGTCAGCAGGACCCACGTGTCCACTGAAGACTTGGAGCCAGGGAGTGACCTCGGGTTTGTGTCTTTAGAAGGATGATTTCTGCTCTGGAGAATTGAAGGGGCATTTCTAGCAGCAGGGAGCCAGGGGGCAGTTGGCGGGCCCCGGGCAACTCGTGAATGGGCATTTGCTGTTGCCTCAGCCTTTGCCTGAAGCGCTCTTTCATCCCTCAGAGCTGAGCTTAAATGTCACTGCCCACGAGAGCGTTCCCTTGCATCGGCCCCGTGCCTGCCTTCCACCACTTTGCTCTCCCTTGTCTGTAGTTTTCTACGCTCTACTCGGCCCTGTTTTGCTCTCTGTCCCTCCCCACGTTGTCAACTTCGTGAGGGCGGGGACCTTTTCTCGTTCCCCTCTGTATCCCCCATGCTTAGCATCCTGGCGCCGTAAAGTAAGTCCAGGGAACGAGTCTGTTAGCTCATCTGGGGAAGGTTTCCCGCGGGCCTCCCTGGGCAGGTGGCGTTCTAGGCCCTGGGGACACGAAGATGCGCACGGCCTACCTCCCGGCTTCGGGGGGCTCCTCTGCCCCTGCTCTGGGTGGGGCCTGTTCCCTTCTGGCCGCTGCCCCCAGAGCTCCCTGGCTTCCTTTCAAGTTCGCCTGGAACCTCGCGTTCGGTCTGGAGGCCCCTTCGCCTTCGCTCACCCTGCCTCCTGCACCTCACCTTGTGTTGGGTGGCTTTTCCCATCTGCTGCCTTCCTGGGTGGCATCCACTGTCTGGGCTTGGGGCTCTTCTTTCACTCGGTAAGACCTACACGCCCCAGCCAGCTCTGCTGACAGCTTCCGGGGAGCCCATGGCCAGGGGACTCAGTGGCGCCTATGCGGTCTCTGAAAAGTACGCCCCTCTCTGCCTCCTGCCCCCCACCCCGGTATCTGGCCCTGTTGTTTACACTGACTGTGGTGACAAGGCTTGGCGGGCTCCCAGCTGGGGGGTGGGAGTACCTCTCTCCAGACTCTCTCTCCTGTCCTACTGGCCTTCCGTTCTTTGGCTTGGGGTGGAAGGATGCCCCCGACCCATCCTGACCCTGGATTCCCAGCAGTCCCCCTTGATCTCTCCTGACCTGCAAGCATCCTGATCCTTCTTTTCACTCCTGATTCTAGAAGGTGACTTGTCCCCTGGGGTCTGGGCAACTTGGCTGATAGATTGCCCTTGCAGTCGTTCCTTTTTTCCATGGTCTTCATCCCACTGTGGCAGGGTTGTGCCCAAGGGCAGAGGCTGTAGCTCCCAACCAGGCCTCTGGGGTCTTGTGGGAAACCCCTTCGTAGTCTCACCCCTCTTCTGTTGTGTGGGTTCTGTCAACCCCTCAGGCTCCCTCACACTCCCCAGGGTGCACTCAGACCTCAAAGACACACGTGTCCCCTGGCTCAAGGCCCCCCAGGCTGGGCTCCCATGGAGGGGACGTTCACGCTGCTGAGGACAGACCTGTTACCACAGAGAGCTGATGAGCCTTTCTCCCTTCCCTAGCACGGTCCGGAGAAGCTCCTCTGCCTTAACCAGGGGATGGGGGCTGTGGATGCCGTCGCCTGGGCCGTCCTGGGTCCTCCACTCTCGCCCCCCTTTTATTCTGAAGCCTGGGCCTCTTGGCAGCAGAGGGATGGCTGGCCTGCCCCGATGGGAGGCGAGCCCCTGTCCACAAGTGGCTCTGGGTCTCCCAGTTAACTTCAAGAAACTATGCTTAAGGAAGGAAAAAAAAAAAAACTTAGAGGAGCATACTTGAAAGTGATAGCCGTGTAATGTGGTGTGAATTTAACTTTGATCCCTTTGTTTTAAATTAAGATCACTGTTAATTATCTTTTTAAATGACAAAAAGCTTACTGAAAGAAAAGAAAAAAAGGGCTTCTGTTTAAAGGAGAATAAGGTAATTTGGGGACATGTGTTGTAATTTTCTGTTCATTAAAAAGTCATTTTAGATTACAATGAGAAAGGAACACCCTTTAATTAATTTTTATATAAAAGTTTATTTAAAATAATCCTTTTCTGTCAAAGCCACGGTTCTTAGTTCTTCACATGTTACTCACTGAGTCCTCTATGACCCCAAGTAGTAGGGCCATAATTTTCTCCTTTGTACTGATGGGGAAACTGAGGCTGGAGGTTGAAAAACTTCTCCAAGGGATCCAAATTACCAAATGTAACCTGGTTCTTACTCCTGTTTGGGCTTCCTTTCTGCAGTCAGGGTTTGATGGTGGGGCGATAACACAGGTGGGAGTTGGTCCTTGCTGATACCCTCTGTTTGTACAGGGATCTAATGGTTCACCAGTCGCTGTCCCAGGTATGGTGTCTCTTACCTTTGCAGCAGCTCTGTGAGGTGGATGTGCTTCTAGGGAGACTGGCTCACTGAGTGCAGGCAGTACAGGAGCTCAGGTCTTTGGCCTTTTGAGTCCAGTGTCCACTGTGTCCTTGTACTGGCCACCGTTAGTTTGCAGAAACACCAGAAGCCAGCAGTTCCTGGAAAGACCCTGCTTTTGACGTGCAACGTCTTACAAGAGCGTTCACAAGCTCTCTGTATTTATTCTCTTTAAAATCATGGATAGGGAAGGAATATTCTATCATCTGGTTGTCAGTGATTAAGTATTATTTTCTACTTTGGCCTGAGCATGTGAACTTTGAATGCCTCTTGAAACATGCAGCTGTTTCCTTGATTAAGTAATTTTATGTTTTTCTCCACACTGGATCAGCTGTTGACAGGTGTTGCTAGTCTGTTATTGGCCCATGGTTTCATTGATAACTGTGTGTGCTCTTCCGAGATGAAATGCTAGTTTGGCGCAGAAATCAGACTAGTTTGTATATTTGATTTGTTGAAAATAATAGAACTTTTGAGGGCTTTTTATGCCAAGTACTGTGTTCAAACCTTTATTTACAGTATCCTCGTAGCATTCTCCTCAGATGAATACTAGGATTATTATGCAGATGAGGAAATTGAGGCTCCAAAGGTGAGTGACTGACCTACGGAGCTGCCTTACCCTCTTGGATGAAATTAGGAATCAGTGCTTAAAAAACACTTTGAAGTTAAATCTGTGGAAAGAATAAACATTTAAGAAGATTAAGGTTATATCTAAATGGTACATGCATATCAGCATTATAAATTTGACTGAAATTTTTCAACTTATCCTGGAATAAAACTAAAACGAAAACTAAAACAAGTACAAAACGAAACACATCTCTAGGTATTTTGAGTGATTCAGCGAGATTCCTAGAGTTGACCCCCAGTTGGGGTCAAGTCCCCTTCCTCTGGCTTCACCACCAGCTAACAGATACAGGTTTTCGGGAGATTTTTCCCAGTCTGCTGCTGCTTCCAAAGTAGAGAATTTGACCTGATGCAAACAGTAACATTTATAATCTGAATATTTCTTTCTGACTGTCTGACTTGAGTACTCTTAAGAGAGTATCACGTGGGGGACAAAAAAAATTTAATGCCATTGATTAATTTTTAGAAGTGTAACTTTTACTTACTACGTATTCCGTGGATTTTTTTTTTTTTTTTTAACAGTCACACGGAAGAGAAGACTCAGTGGGAACATCCGAAAACTGGGAAAAGAAAGCGAATAGCAGGAGGTTTGTATGTTGTTGTCATAAAGCAGAGACCCTTGTATTTAAAGCATTAATGAGATGGGAAAACTGTCACAGGAGCTGGACTCTCCCTCTGGGGAGTTTGTAGGATTCGGTAGAAGGAAGTGATGAGCTCTTGGGGTGGAGTGCTTAGGATGATTTCTTAAATAAGAAGGTATTAAAATAATAGGGGCCTTGAATTCACAGTTCATTAGATTTTTCCGTAGTTGCACTGCTTGTAAAGTTGGTCTTGGTTCCTATCCTGGAATTAAATATATCAGCGTTTGATAGAATTCCGTAAAGCTTGCCTTGACTTGTAGGTGCTTCTGAGTAAGTGTGTCATGCATGGAATAGAAGTGTAAGAAGGTCCCTGCTCTCAAGAGGTTGAGGGTCCATTTGAAAAGACAACATGTGCCCTTGGGAAAAAAATGCAACCGGTCTATAGTATGAATCTTCACAAGTCAGCATATGAATGGTATTGGGTGCCTGCTGTAGCGTAGATAACGTTCTGGGAATTCATTCAAGGGAGAATTCATGTTGGTTGGAGCAACCAGTAAGGGTTTTGTGAAAAGCAGAAGCTGAATGGAGTGTTGAAGAATGATCAAGAACGAAATAGTATTTTATTTTATTTTATTTTTTGGCCACATGGCTTTCAGGATCTTAGTTCCCCGACCAGGGATTCAACCCAGGCCCAGCAGTGAACGTGTGGACTCCTAACCACTGGACTGCCAGGGAATTCCCAAGAATGAAATAGTCTTAAAAATAGAGTTGCCATATGATTCAGCAGTCCTGCTCCTGGGCATATATCCAGAAAAAAACCGTAATTCAAAAAGCTGCACGCACTCCTATCTTCATAGAAGCACTATTCACAGTAGCCGAGACATGGAAGTAACTTGCCTGTCGATCAAAAGATGAATGGATAAAGATGATGTGGTATTGGGTTGGCCAAAAAGTTCCTTCGGTTTTTAAGTAAAAATAAGACACATTTTTTATTTTCCCAAGAACTTTATTGAACAACGTATTCACTGTTTTGTTCCACTACCTTCTGCCATTTTTCAGGCAACTTCATAATTCCATCTTCCCAGAACTTTTTATCTTTTTGAGCAAAGAACTGTTCCAGGTACCTTCTACTGTCTTCCAGAGAATGGAAATATTTTCCATTAAGAGAATTTTGTAAAGACCGAAACAAATGGAAATGCGAAGGTGCAATGTCTGGTGAATACGGCAGATGAATCAGAACTTCCCAGCCAAACTGTAACAGTTTTTGCCTGGTCATCAAAGAAACATGCAATCTTGCATTACCCTGATGGAAGATGATGCGTTTTCTGTTGACTAATTCCGAACGCTTTTCGTCGAGTGCTGCTTTCAGTTGGTCTAACTGGGAGCAGTACGTGTTGGAATTAATCGTTGGTTTTCCAGAAGGAGCTCATATTAGAGGACTCCCTTCCAATCCCACCATATACACAACATCACCTTTGGATGAAGACTGGTTTGCTGTGGTTGGTGGTGGTTCATTTTGCTTGCCCCACGATTTCTTCCGTTACACATGATTGTACAGTATCCACTTTTCGTCGCCCGTCACAATTTGTTTTAAAAACAGAATATTTTTCTTACGTTTAAGTAGAGAATTGCATACAGAAATAAGGTCAAGAAGGTTTTTTTTGCTTAACTTATGTGGAACCCAAACATCAAAGCGATTAACGTAACCAAGCTGGTGCAAATGATTTTCCACGCTCGATTTGGCTATTTTGAGTATATCGGCTATTTCTTGCATGGTATAATGTTGATTGTTCTCAATGTCTCGATTTGATTGCTATCGACTTCAACTGGTCTACCCGGCCATGGAGCATTGTCCAGTGAGAAATCTCCAGCATGAAACTTCACAAACAACTTTTGACACATTCCATCAGTCACAGCACTTTCTCCATACACTGCACAAATCTTTTTTTGTGTTTCAGTTGCGTTTTTACCTTTCTTGAAATAATAAAGGATAAAATGCTGAATATGTTGCTTTTTCCCCTCCATCTTCAATATTAAAATGGCTACACAAAAATTCACCAGTTTTGATGTTTTTTTAAAAGGCATGCTGTTATGACGGCTGTCACAGTACAGTCTAACAAAATTGTTTCGAATGAAGTTAGACAACTAAGCACTAATAGAGTCATCTTATGGAAAACACCAAACAAATTTTTTGGCCAACCCAGTACAAAGGAGTATTACTCAGCCATAAAAAAGAATGAAATAATACCATTTGCAGCAACATGGATGGACCTAGAGATTATCATACTAAGTGAAGTAACTCAGAAAGAGAAAAACAAATATCATATGGTATCACTTATATGTGGAATCTAAAATATGCCACAAATGAACATATCTACGAAACAGGAACAGATTCACAGACATAGAGAACAGGCTTGTGGTTGTGAAGGTGGGGGTGAGGGAGGGATGGATTGGGAGATTGGGTTTAGCTGATACAAACTTATATATAGAATTGGTAAACAACAAGGTCCTACTGTATAGCACAAGAAACTGTATTCAATATCCTGTGATAAAGCATAATGGAAAAGAATATGAAAAATAATATATGTCAAACTGAGTCACTGCTGTACAGCAGAAGTTAACACTGTAAATCAACTATACTTCAATAAAATTAAAAAAAAAAAGAATGAAATAGTGTTAATTCCAAGCAAGAGGCAGAATGTAGAGTCTGGTTGGGGTAATGGGCCTTCTGTACCTGCCATAGTTGGAGCACGTGACCTGCTGGTCTGGTGGGATAGGTCTGGGGCTGGAAGGGCAGGGGCTTCAGTTCACCCCACCCCACCCCACCCCCACCCCCACCCCCACCCCCACCCCCACATAGACCTGTTGTCCTTCTGTGTTTCAGATTTGCCCTATGGATGGGAACAAGAAACTGATGAGAATGGACAAATGTTTTTTGTCGAGTAAGTGTCTACAAAACAACTTCTTAGCCATCTTGCTTTTTATTTAATTAATTAATTTATTTTTAATACATTTATTTATTTATTTTTGGTTGCATTGGGTCTTTGTTGCTGCATGTGGGCTTTCTCTAGTTGTGGCAAGCCGGCGCTACTCTTTGTTGCGGTGCGTGGGCTTCTCATTGCGGTGGCTTCTCTTATTGTGGAGCGTGGGCTCTAGGCGTGCGGGCTTCAGTAGTTGTGGCTCGCAGGCTCAGTAGTCGTGGCACACGAGCTTAGTTGCTCCACGGCATGTGCAATCTTCCCGGACCAGGGCTTGAACCCGTGTCCCCTGCATTGGCAGGTAGATTCTTAACCACTAGGGAAGTTCCATCCTGCTTTTTAATAGGAACTTTTTTGTACAAGGAATATACATTGACTGTAGGAAAATATTATATAGTGTATAAGTGTAATCCTATCAGCAGGACTAACTGCTTTTAGCAATTTTTGGATTTTTTTCTTCCAGTCTTTCTATATAAGTGCTTAAAAAAAAAAAGTATTGCACTAACTGTTTGGTAAACTGTTTTTTCTACATAATTCTTATGAGCATTTTCTCATATCTTTATAAATTTTTGAAGACAATGATGTTTAACGGTTATATAGTATTATTTTGTATAGATATACTGTAATTTATCAAATTACCTACTGGGCATTGATGTTGTTAAATTCTTGTGATCTGGCTTCTGTACAGGCAGACCTTGTCTTATTGCACTTTGCAGATACTGCGTTTTTTACAGATTGAAGGTTTGTGGCAACTCCCCCTCAAGGGAGTCTTTTGGCTCCATTTTTCCAGTAGCAGTTGCTCAGTTCGTGTCTCTGTGTCACGTTTCGGTAATTTTCGCAATATTTCAGACCCTCCACTAGCAAAAACGTTGGTGACTCACCGAAGTCTCAGGTGATGGTTAGCATTTTTTAGCAATCGAGTATTTGTTAATTAAGGTGTGTATATTTTTTTAGACACGCTGTTTCACACTTAATAGACTGTAGTGTAAACATAACTTTCATACGCTCTGGGAAACCACACAATTTGTGTGACTCGGTTTATTGCGTGCGACACTGACTTTTTTTTAAAGTTTATTTATTTATGGCTGCGTTGGGTCTTCATTGCTGCACGCGGGCTTTCTCTAGTTGCAGCGGGCGAGCGGGGGTTACTCTTCGTTGTGCGCAGGCTTCTCACTGCGGTGGCTTCTCTTGTTGTGGAGCATGGGCTCTAGGTGTGTGGGCTTCAGTAGTTGTGGCTTGCAGGCTCTAGAGCATAGGCTCAGTAGTTGTGGCGCATGGGCTTAGTTGCTCTTCGGCATGTGGGATCTTCCCGGACCAGGGCTCGAACACGTGTCCCCTGCATTGGCAGGCGGATTCTTAACCACTGCGCCACCAGGGAAGCCTGACACAGACTTTATTGTATTGGTCTGGAACTGACCCTGCAATGCAGTATCTCCAAGGTATGCCTGTAATTATAAAGAGCATCCTCCTCTGTAAAACTGTCCTTGGAATAAATTCCAGTAACAAACAGCAACAGTAACCACGCATCTGGCACCTAACATGAGCCAGGCATGTTCTAACCAACTTATACCTGTAGTATCAGCTCATTCAGTCCCTGAAATGCCCTAAGGGAGGCGAGCGCTGGGCTGCCTGGCCAGTCATTTCCCCACTCTGATCCCGTTAGAGAGGTGTGCTGGTAAATGCTTAACAACCAGTTCCCTGGGGGGAAAAGCCCATATTTGTTTCGGTGGTATAAGTACTTCCCCTATAGCTTATTTCCAGCGACCGAGGTAAAGTCACTGAGGAGTTGGGAAGAGAGATGCACATTTGGGTCTTGTGAGCCAGGGTGACCCGGCTCCCCCCCTGCTCTGTCCTCTGTAAGACACTGGAGTCAAAATGCTTATCTGGCATCTGTGGTTATAAGTAAAATGAAAGTTGGATTATTCTTGAGTCTTAGTGTTTATGGGGTGACGAGTATTGATTTTAAACTGTGTATAATTTTACACACACATACATGTTACAAATACTTTTTTTTTTAATGTTTTTATTTATTTTTTGGCTGCACCATGGGGCTTGCGGGATCTTAGTTCCCCGACCAGGGATCGAACCTGGGCCCTCGGCAATGCAAGTGCTGAGTCCTAACCACTGGACTGCCAGGGAATTCCCACAAATGCATTTTAAATCATGAAATCTTTCTTTCTGGAGAGTTCTTAATAGTTTTCAAGATATTTTGAGGTCTATCTCAAACCCCGAGATCACATTTAAAATGTAAAAAATAAACCTGTTCTGTAAGGAGCAGCCTATTCATCTGTATGAACAGGTTGTACTGATGTATTTTAATATGTTGTTTATACTACCAGTATAGTTTAATATTCTTTCTACAAGATTTCAGTCAACTCCAAATCAAAACTACAGTGTGTGAGTACAGCCTTATAATGAAAATTATTAGAATTTCAGTAGTTGGCTGGTTTCATATTTACTGTCTTTCATCATTTTGAGTTTTCTACTTCTTTACCAATCTTCTTAGGCCCTTGCACATAAGAGATTTAATTGAAATCTACTGACAAGAGTGCCTGATGGATCTTATAGCCACATTTACATGAATTAAAAGAAAAAAACCCCAAAGCCTACTCCATGTTTGAGATCTGAGGGTACAAGGCAGTGCTTTGTATGTTACAGCCTATTTTACGGGCAGTTCTGAAGAAAATGCTTCGACGGCTGTCTTTCTAGGCAGGAATATAATCCTTCTGGAGGCCAGAAGATAGATTAAATGGACCCGGGTCTTTCCGGGGTTAAGAATAAGCCGTTTTTAGTCCATGAAAAATGGGGTTTGCCTAGCCTAAACTATAAGATTATCTTGTAATTATAAATGCCTGTGTTCACTGCTGTAGGTTCACTGCTTTCTCCTTTTCTTTGCAGCCACATAAATAAAAGAACTACCTACTTGGACCCAAGACTGGCATTTACTGTGGACGATAATCCTACGAAGCCAACCACCAGACAGAGATACGACAGCAGCACAACTGCCATGGAAATCCTCCAGGGCCGGGATTTCAGTGGCAAAGTGGTCGTGGTTACCGGAGCGAATTCGGGAATAGGTAGGTTGTTAACTGACAGCGATGGTTGTTATTATTATTTCTTTTGTCACTGCTATGATGAAATCCGCTTTAGTCTAACCATAAGAAAACTTTGTTTGGTGGTTCTCTAATTTAAAAGGTATTTATAGCCTTTTCAGCTATCGTGTCATTAAAGTTCTGGGCCCTTTTTCAGTCCCAGTGTTTCCATGGAAGGAGGGCCGTGTCAGGGCTGACCTTGAATTCTCTGAAAGCTGAACACTCAGCGGAAGATGGTGGCTATTTTGGTTCTTCAGGATGAGAGACAGCTGGCTCTGTCTAGGAGTTTCTGACCTGGTCTGCGTGGTGTGCGGTCATGGTCCAGTTACCTGGGTTCTTCGGCCCAACGCTGACTGGTAATGGAATATCGGGAACAGTGGTGTGTCAGGGCTTTGGGACAGAGGACACTGCAGCTGTCCGTTGGTTACGGAGAATATGATTTTCTTTGGAGAACAGGATCTTCTTTCTTTGCAGAGTCGGAGAATTGGTTGCCCTCTTGGTTGCCCTCTTGGTTGCCCTCTTGGTTGCCCTCTTGGTTGCCCTCTTGGTTGCCTGCGTTTAACTGCGGTGGCGGTCATGAGGGAGGGGCTCCGGGGGTGTCCTCTCCTTAGCCTCATGGGCTGGTAGAGAAGCTGCGGCAAAGCAGATGCTCCTGCGTTCACTCTCCAGATGATTTAATTCTTACTTTGCTTTGGTCCATTGACATGAATATCTGAATCTGTAAGAACCAGCTGCTTTGAGTAAGGCTATGCATCCTCAGGTTAATTTACAGAGACAAAACATGGAATTGTGCTCAGCTGTCTTCTGGCAAGTTCGCTCCTTTTCACCCTTCATGGTGCTCCCCCCTCACCGGCCTTCTCTCTCACCAGCTTTGTCTCCTCACCGGTTTGTGTATCCCCTGCACTTCTTTCTCTGTCTTGCTTCATTTTCGGTGACCTCTTCTTGAACTTGCAGAAGCATTCCCTGGTATCATCAGGGCACGTATAGGAAGTGACATACATTCTTGACATACATCAATTGTTGTATAGTACAGGGTTGAAAATCTAACAAGCTACGGTCCCAGAGCGGAACTTTTGACTGTACCTGTCCATTAAGGCAAAGAAGCATATGGAATTTTTTTTTTTTTAAATGAAAGGGATTTATTTAAAATCAACTCTCAGACCTCATCCTGGGCTCAGAATATGTTCAGTTCGGTTTTCTGAATCACATCGGGGTTCATTCTATTTAATCGTCATCGATAGGAAAAGCTGATGATGCTATATTAAAAGTAACAGCTGGATCCTCAGTCGTCCAGGAAACAGTGTGTTGTGTGGATGGCGTTGACTACCGTTACGTGAGCGTGTGGACCAAGCCAGTGTAGAATAATTAAGAAAAAATAAGGACTTAAGTAAAATACCTCTTCTTATTTAACACTCAGTTAACCAGAGAATTAACTAAAAGATCTCATTCCCTTAATCTCGTGGCTAGACAGTTTGTTCCTTTCATTAGTAAGATAAGTGACTACTGATGGTTTGTGCGTAAGTATTGAAACTCGGCCCTGTCTGACGTTAGATGGCAGGCCTTCTGAAGCTCTGCTGAAGATTTGCCGCGTGAGGCCTATGACATCATAATCCAGGACTAAAGGCACTGGTGCAGAATATTCAAAGAGCTATGTGTAGTTGGGTATTGCATCCTGGTCGGAAGGGAGGATGAGGTTCTGAAGCATTGAGAAGAAATGTGTCGTTGGTCAGAGTGGACCTCGGACCTCTCGGAGGCAAGCTCTGTGCCTCTTCCCAGCTGCCGCTTCCCCTTCCTGAGGTCCCTGATCTTTCTTGTGGGCCCTGCAAGTAGGTGCCCGTGGTCCAGTCACATGTGATGGTAAGTCGGACGGCTCAGGCTGGAAGGGAGGCTGGGGAAGGTCTCCGAGCGCGCCCCCCATCCCCATTTCCCCAGCTCGAACCTTCATTGCCTTCAGCTCTGCCTGGTCTCCCCGTGACCCCTGCAGTCTCGAGAAGCCCGAGTCTAGGGGAGTGCTGGAGATTTGTCTGCTTCATATTTGAAATAACATCAGACCGAACATTCCAGGCAATCAGATCCTTGCAAAGAGCTCTGGCGCTGCAGCCGTGGTATCAGGCTTAAAGAAAAGAGCCGAAGGCAAGCCCGTGGCTTTGCCGTCATCACTTAGGCAGCTTTTATATCCCACGTGGCTGGCTGCCTTAGAGTGTGTCCTTGTCCAAGTAGGCTGTGCCTTCCAGATAAATTTCTTCTCCTGAACTATGAAACACGCCAATTTAGAAATCGCTATCACCACTCTGTTTCTGCCCCTTTCAAATGGGAACAGCTGAGCGCAGAGTGAATCAGGCATCTTCGCTCCCAACACTCCTCGGCGTTCGGGAGTCATCTTCTCTCGAAGCTCGAATGGTGTTGGCCTGCACTTTTCCTCTTGCTGCTCAGGGGAGCCCGGTTCCTACGTGTGAACTGTCCAGTCTTTAGCCTCATGGATGTCTGTGCTCTTGGGAGCAGAGTGGGCTGTTACAAAACACCGGTCTTTATTTTGAGAGTGGTGATTCCACAGCTAAAAACACAGGTAACCTAATTGGCTTTACAAAGGTTGGTTTACAAATCTGGTATTCCCAGTGATGCTTTCTGTTCGTGTTTTTGAATTCCCTGCAAGGCACCTCTCTGTTGGACTTGCCATTGGGAGGGGGCTCTCTGTTGTGAAGGGGGCGCTCGGGCGGTGAGAGGGGACGCCTTCCCTGGTGGACGGCAGGGACGTGCCAAGACACCGCCCCCTTTGACGTGGCCTCTATGCAGATTCTCTCTTGTTGTCCATGTTGGGTACCTCGCCCCCCTCCACCTCGGCCGTAAGGGATACAGAACTGTGTTTTGAACTTTGGATATTTTATGTTCCGAAGGCAATTGGAGGGTCCTGCTTATTAATTCAGCTTATAAAGATCAGGGTGGTGCAGGTCGGTAGACGGATTCAGAGGAAATGCCACAATAAAGCGTTTTGCATTCTTGGAAGTTTGTAGGCAGATACTGCGGTTGACTGGGTTCAGCTGTCCAGATGGGGAGTCGGCAAACTACAGCCCGTGGGCTAAATCTGACTCCCGCCTGATCTTGCAAGTAAAGTTTTACTGGACCATGGCCACGCCTGTTTATTTCCGTATTGTCTGTGGCCGTTTTCATGTGACCAGCAGAGTTGCATAAATACGGCAGAGACCCTGTGGCCTGCACAGCCTAGAATATTTACTGTCTGGCCCTTAATGGAAAACGTTTGCCTACCCCTGCCTCAGATGGTCTAATCCCTTTCAAAATAAGATCACCCCAGTAGGCTGTGTGAGTCAGCCACAAGTTAGGTGAAATTTAGATAAAGCGGATGCCCCAGGCCACGAGGAAGATGGTGGCGACACATTACACGTGTCTGTTGGGGATGCCCCCCCAGTGCCTGTGCCTCCTGCCTCACCTCTGTCCCCAGCTTTAGGGAGCTGCAGGCCTTAGGACATTGCAACCTCTGAAATGACACTCTTCTCTCATCGACCTTTGTTTAATGAGCCTTCTGAACCCCAAGAACTTCGTGTAGATTGAGCGCTGTAGCTTGTGGACCTGTCTCGGTGGAGCTCAGCCTCTCAGTGTCCACGGGGAAGTCACCTGTGCACCCAGAGCTTCCTTCCGCCAGCAGACCGCGAGGCCGGAAGCCCCGGTCCCGACGGCTAAGCCGTAGAGGCGAGGGAGGAGTTCATTTCTGTTTGTGCTCAGCTTAGCGCTGGGCAGGAAGGGGCGGGGCAGGTGTCCACGGCGACCTGGAGTTAGTGGCTCGATGCCTCTGATTTGGTAAAAAACGAAAACAAAAAAACGAATGGAGATGGCTTCAACATGGGGATCATTAAATATGGACCTTAACGCGAAGTCTCCGGAGAGGGGGTCTCGGAGGCTTCCTGTTGCGGAAGATCCCATAGCTGCTTCTCTAGACTCAGCCTGTCAATCGAGCGGATTGGGCTCTGCTTATAAATAGCTCAGTACAAAATGCTGCCTTCTCAAATCTGAGGGCTGCCTTCTCAAATGCTGCCTTCTCAAATGTGCTCCTCCAAGGCCGGACCCTTCTCACGAGGGATTACCTGAATGCCTAAATATGGGGCAGCGCCTGCCCTGCACACTGGCCCTGGGAGCGGGGACGTTTGTTGGAAATCGTGCAGGTAGTTGTAGGGAGCAGATGGATCATCGTGGCACCTATGGAGTGAAATCCAGGTTCTGTCAAACAACCATTGAAAAAATATTAACAAGTATGCACAGCTTAGCCATTTTCAGTCTCCTGTTCACTGGCAATGATGAATGATAAAGCTTTCTTCCTAACTTCCAGTCTTAAACCAGTAGTGGTTAAAATTTGGTTTTTGAATCCCTTTCTGAGTGTAGTCAGGATGAAAAGTTTCTTCGACCCTTTGAAGTTTCATAACGCTGGGCTGTTTCGAATGTTGTGACTTGAAATCTGGAATAGCCTGGCCTGGTTTCGATTTGTGTGTGAGTCAGAGGACCCGTTAACAAGAACAAAACTGTTTTTTTGCCTGAACATATACAAGCTGGCCACCTTAGCATACACCAGGAAAATGTATTTTGGGACTGACACTTTAATTTTCTATTGGTATTTATGTTATATATAATATACCTCCCTAAGGTTCATTACAGGGATTCTAATAATGTGTGTACGTGTATACACACACTTATATACCAAAATTGATATACTTTGAGATATAAAAAGTATTTGCTCAAGCTATCAAAGTCAACCCCAAATTTGTTCTTGAAACAAAATGAAGGTATTGGATTTCCATGTGGGAATCCCAAAATGTTGTAGTTTAATGTTGAAATTGGTTGTTTTGGCTTAGCCTGTTTTTTAGAGCTTGGGGTCTTCTTGCAAAATCATGTGTTGAAATTACAGTGTGAAGTGGAGTTGCCATATTGTTTTATCCTACAAATCATCACCGCGATGAATTCATATCTGGTGTAGATTC